GCAGACTCTACTTTGGCTCAAGCTACTCCACCTCCTCTGACTCCTCCTGCCAGTACTACATTGGTCCTGGATGGTGAGGATGAGCAAGGAGACCACCAGAGAACCAGACTCTGTTCTGGCTCCTGCTCCACCACTTTTAGTGACCCCTGCTGATCAACCTCCTGCCATCATTTCTGTCCAGGATGGTTTGAACATCAACCAGATTGAACAAGCGAAGCAGCCTGCACCTACCTCAGGATTTGAGGATGCACATTTATTTTTTACATGGGCACGTTCCAAAGAAATAACAGAGAATGTGACGAACAAGCACTACTGAGCTGTATAGAGACTGTAAATGTGAGATTTTGCCGGATCCACAAAAAATAAACAAATAAACGTATCAGACCTCCAAAAACTATACAGTATACTCTGTACAATAGTTACTGAGAACATGTCTCATTAAAAATTAATTATTTAATTATTAGGGATACAGTACTTTACTGGGACAATTGTCCAATTAAATGTGCAAATTTGTCCAAACTGGGGTTGAAACCTTACACTGACACAATTTCTTGCACGAGGCATAGACCAAACAGAGCAGCAAGAATCCAGTCGGGACAGGAAAATAAATGTTCTCGGGGACCAAGTTGTGCCCCCGGTGGGAGGTCAGTTCTATCACTGTCACTGTGAGACAGATTAACAGGTTTTTGTCCCCACATGTGATGAATACAAACTTACACACACTTTTCATCAGTCCTTGAGTCCTGCAGGCTGCAGTGTGGAAGTGGAGGTTTAACAGCAGGGTATAACTACACACTGACACACTGATGCTCACTTCTTGAACAGTTAAAAAATGTCAGACACAATTATTTGCCAAGTAAGCGAGACCCCTCTGAAAGCCAATGAACTGTAGCATGTAAAAGTAAAACCACTTCATGCTGTGTGTTATGATCTCTCACTGTGCTTTATGTGAGGTCCAGTCATACATCCTCCATATTAACTCTGAGACTGTACAGACTCTGTAATGTCGTCAGTTCATCACTCCAACAGTCACCAAGATACATTGAGCTTAAAGACATGCAGTGCTTTAAAAAGATGTGTTTTTTTAACTCCTTGGTATAAAACATTGAAAACTCATTAAGCACAGGTATTTATTTATTTATGCAAAGTTTTATACTAACAGACCAAGACCTGATTCCCTAAGTTAAGAAAGAGATCTTTTACATCTAGTCATAAAGGTAGGACCAAAAATTTTAGGTCAGAAGGAATTATTTCCTACTCTAAGATGCTTCATAGGTACGGGTCAAGGTCTGAAACAGAATAAGAAAAGAAGTATGTAAAGGCAGTGCTCTGGCCAACATTAGTAGTGCATCAAAAAGTGCAGCCTCCTCATTCACTTCAGGGACACAACGGAATTGGCTTAGCAGGGAACCCAGTAACCTACTTTTTCATGTATGTATGTATGTATGTATGTTAGAAATTAACAAAAGGGAAAGAGTTTAAAAGAGTTGGGAGGAATCAGGCAATTTGAATGTGATAAAATTGAATGATACCCTGATATCCCAAGCAAAAACCAGACACACGCACAATGTGGTAAGTTGGGTTGAAAAATGCACCACTCCTTATGAGTTTAAATATAGGTCAGGCTCTTCCAGCAGAGTCAGCGCTCTCTCTTACACACACACAAACACACACACACACACACTCACCACAGTACTTAATGGGGACGGAGTGGACAGGTCCTCCAGTGTGAACTCGTGTAGGAAGCACTTTACATCAAGATTCATGTCAAGTTGTTTTTCTTCCTATATTTCTCTCTGACAACTTACTGTATAGAGCAGCCTTCTGGCCTGGCAAGATGTAGCACAGAGGGATTGAGATTTAACCTAATTAAATGTACAGTGCAGTATCTTCAGTTAAAGCAGTGTGATTAACTCGTTGGTAAATACTTTATAAATCAAACAGGGGCAGCTGGAGTTGCCACAGACAAGAGACATGAATAAACAGAACAGTGTGTTCAAATCAGCCTTCAGAAATATGGAAAGGGTGTGTGTGGGTGGGTGTGTGGGTGTGTGTGTGTGTGTGTGTGTTACATTTATATGAAAACATTTTACAGATTTTCACTTAAACTACAGAGCCCATGGGGAACGCTAAATTACTCTGTTCATCCACATAGCAACATGGGGGGGGGGATACACCCCTTACTCAATTTAATGCCCTTCCACTGAAGAAAATATGATGACGTGCCCTCTAGGGTTCTAAATCCCAACACTGACTAAGCTGTTTCACCATAAATGCCCGTTTTATATGTTTTGCCCCTGCCACTAAAACAGTCGGGGTCCACCTCTGCTCTCAAGCCCCGACAAAGCATGGATGATCCACAGCATACTGAATTCTGAAACTGAAACTCATTTTATTTTCCTGTTTTCTCCTCTCTGTTCTCCTCTCCCTCTGCTCCCACCTCTTCTGCTTTCCTCTACTTTATGCCCAGAGGCTGTTCAGCACAACACTACACAGCCTCATTGCATACAGCCTGTATGTATATACTTTATATACAGAATAATGAAGAGACAAAAACCTTAGAGAGGGGGATGAAGGCAGAGAAGGACAGACAAATACAGGGAGACATAGGTCAAAGAGAAAAGTTTGAGGGAGAAACTGGAGAGAACACACACACAAACTAAAATACCTGTGAGTATTATCTAGAACAAACTATCATAAATGTCACTGAATTCATAAAACAAACAACCAATTTATCTCATCCCACATTCCAGTTCTGCACAGAAACCTGCAGGCTTCTACATGTGTAACTGTCCCTACGACCCTATTCAGATACATCCTCTTACTCATCCAGCTTATTTCATCATGGAATGAGCTGGGCTGAGCCACAAGGCTCCATAAACCATTCACCACTGACAGGACCATAAATCTCCTTGTGATGGAGAAGGGTGAACATGATTGATAACAGGGGTGGGGCGCTTCATTCACTTCAAAATCTGTGTCTGTAAGTTAGAAGCCAAGAACATTTAGGACGCTCTCACACTGAAAATAACACTACAGCAGAAACCACCCAAACGGCTGTGTTGTTTTGGTTTTAGAGATTAAAGATGAAGTAAAACCCTACATGTAGGCCTGAGCTGAGCCCGATACTGTGGATGAATATTTAGAGATTGTGAACTTGTCACTGTTTTTCAATTTAGGCTACAGTGTGATTCCACAGATGCATGCAAGTCATTAAATTAGACTTTGCATTAAACAAGTAGTAGTAGTAGTAGTAGTATATTTACTAAAGTACTGTACTCACCAAGTATAATTTTGAATGCAGGACTTTTAACTTGTAACTCGAGTATTTTTACACAATAGTATTGCTACTTTTATTCAACTATAAATCTTAACATTTCTTCCACCAGTGTTCAAAACAGTGAGTGTCCATCCGTCTGTCTTTCATATTATCATGAAGGTTTTATACATTGATGAAAATGTAATACTTTTCATCGAAGTGCTCAATTTTCAAAAGTTATTTTTAATTTAGTTTTAGTCTCAATTTTGCAGTGAAAGAAAAAAGTTGTGAAGAAAAGTTTTACCTCATCTTTTTTACTGATGAAATTTAACCTGTACATAGAAAAAGTTATTGATCACTCTAATTGTTCCTCCTGTCCACACTGGCCATGAAGAGATCTCAGAGATGGAGAGGGTATTGTGTTTACTGTTTAGTTAGATGTGAACATGACCTATTCTTTTAAAAACATTTTGTCTGGTAATGTAGCCCTTTTCCAAACCTTAACTTGTCAATCATCACATGGGCACACTGTAATGTAGCAGCAGACTAACCAACATTACCAGCAACCATCACTAAGGATTTCACTCACTGAGAGTTTTCCCCTACAGCATGTTACTAATATGCCTGTGTATGAAGTTTGACCACGTGTGAAAGTCAGCGCCTAAAAAAAGAACCAAGAAAATGAACCAAAAAGATTTATGACAGTTTTCTGGTACAGGCACTTAACAGTACAGGTTGTTTAGGTAGAGTAAGGATCCATTTACACTTTATTTAGGCCACATGCCAATCATCAAACAAATTCTCAAAGTCACATTTACACCGCTGTGAAACAAAAGGCGTTGAAACAAGATCTGGGAAAATGCTTCCATACTGAAGTTGCTTCCAACAGCATTACTTATAAAGGGAAAACAGATCATTTTACACAGTATTGAGGCCAGATGCCAATCACTGATGAAATTAGGAAACCTTTAGTGTGGAAAATGTTAAAGAAATGGTGCAAATTCAAACAGCAGGTTGGTCCTCAGATTTCAAAAGCAGATTGAGTTGGCCTCCGGTCTTGAAATATAATAACGTAGTGATACTGTGCTTACTCTGTCTTTTTATACATACATTGGTTCCACTGAATATAAAATGACATAAAGGTGTGTTGGAAAAATATTATTCAAGAAGTCTTTTTTACTTGTGTTAAGGGTAGTCTATGCATCATTTTTAAACAACTATATACAAGCAGCAATTAACTTGTCATCAATGTATTCAAACATAAAATGTTTGGTCACTTCTACTGTAATGTTTCCTCTGTTACTTTGTTTCACAGACATGAAAATGTAGAAATGGTAAATATAAAATGCAAAAAATTAACCCAAATAAACCTACTGTGAGATACTATATAGGTGAAGTATAGCTTAAATTGTTTAAGTGTTATAAATATGTTGTATTAGCATCCAAACAGAATCAGAATCAGTATTTAGTCAAAATTATCACACAACACATGCCTGCCCTGTGGTCACTGTTTTCTATTTAAAGTATATTGGAAATTAAGTATTAAATTATAACACTTTTTTAATATATTAGTTGCACTTGTACAAGATAATTGTTAATTTTACAGACAACAAATATGTAAAACAATTTACTATATTTAAGTTATTTTAAGTTTTCAAGACAAAATAAGCAAATGAGAGCCAAGATCCCACAATGAGTAAGTGCTTTATTTTTAATGTAACTATAGTTTGTGTGTTTTACATATTATAAACCCCTCACCCAGTTTCAAAAGTAGTAAAACAAAACGGTGTTAGGGGTAGGAGTGACAGGGCTATTGGCTCACCTGGACAGGTAGAGACCTGTTTGGCCGACAGGAAGGGGAGAAGGAGGAGGAAGGACGGGGGTGAAGTTACCTGTGAGCTCATCTTGCCCCAAGCAGCTCAGTTGAAACTCACCTCACGTGGTCCCTAGAGTATGGGTGAGGGTAGGTGGGCAGATGTCAATAGGAAAGAGAAGTGATGGAGGGCGTAAAAGTATTGCAGAGTTTGAGGACAATTAATTACATGATCCTGATGAGTTTACATGTGGTAGAAAACATTAGCTACAACTACAGTGCTAAAAGAAGAGGAGAAAAACATTTTCCCCCTAATTTTAGCAGTTTACCAAGACAATGAATATAATATGCCATATTGTTAATTTACCTGTAGTCCCTGTGGATAACGTGTTGTTTGGCTGCCAGTATATATGATGAGGGGTTAAAGGTCAAAGGTTAAAGGTTAGGGCCCAGAGAGATGAGCTGTGCAGTAAAGAAAGAGATCTGCACTAGCTTGCCTTTACACCCTCAGGGCCTGAAATCATGTTTATTCTGTAAACACAGACACAGCACATATATTATACACAAATGTATCAGCCAGTGCACAGACACACGCTATAGAAAACAGGTAAAACACAATGAAAAGAAAGCACAAGCATTAGCCTTGCATTCTAACATTCACATGACCTCTAACACAGCTATATCATCTACATCACACTCACATGCAGTGTGGGTGGTGGATTGTTTTTTTAAGCTCTCTTGGAGCACAATAACTACTCACATTTCTTTCTCAAAAAATTTTCTGTTTTACATTTCTCTCTTGCTTTCTTCTTCCCTCATATGGCTTACAGATGAAACAAAGGGTGATTTTAAAAAAATAAGAGGAAGTTAAGTTACAGCAGAAGTAATAATGATAAAATACATATTATTACATTGAAAACGTTCTTTTTCCTGAGCTTTAATTTGCATTTTTATGATTAATTTTCCCCCAATCATTGTTTTGGTATTTTGTAATATACCTCAGTGTCTGTTGGATGGATTGCAATGGAATCTGACACAGATATTCATGTTTCTCAAACCAGATTGTAATAACTTTGATGATTCCTTTATTTCTCATCTAGAGTCACCATGAGATCAAAATATTTATATTTTTATTTGGCCAATACTACTGATCCATTACCAAATGTCTGTAAAACTCAACCTCAGCTTCGTGTTTGGTGCTAATAAGCAAATGTTAGCAACCTATCACGCCAAAATGATATGCTCATGTTAAGCAGGTGTGTTTTCCATGTTCACCATTTTAGCATTGTCATTGAGAATGTTAGCATGATGAAGTGTTTAGCCTTAGAGAGACGCTAGCGTGAATAAACACACTTAATCTTGTTATTCGTGGAACAACTTTTTCTGGTGTGAAACAAGCACTAGAGCTAGGACTTTGAGTTCAATCTTTTTTTTTTATGAGTAACTAAATCAAAATAATGAGCTCCAAACCATAATGTCAGCTGTGTGTAATGTCGACAAGTTTTCCAGTACACTGGTGTACACATGAAGCTTGTGGAATAACAACCCTGTTACACAGTAAGCATTGGATTTAGCCGTGTTAAAGCAGCTGTTTTTCCAAATGTCATTCACTGAACTGCTCAAATACTCAAACTGTTATTTTAAACCACAGGATAGAGAGACAGGCAGACATGTCCAGAGAGTACCTGCAGACTGCTGTTGTCAGGGCCTGTCTGTAAGCCAACAGCCATCATGGACCAACTATGTCCTGGAAAACACACACACAGAGACTCACAGACATGTACTATACACGCATCCACCCGTACGCTATAAAAATATACACAATATTAAGAATCCCATTCATAAAACTGACAAGTTGACACGTGTAACATTAACCACAAGCAGGTCGTGTAGTGACAAATACATGTTGAGAACAAAAAATGGATTTAAGCCCACAGCCAACAGCCTCAAGTACATAAACATCTCACATTTCATTTTATTTGAAGGAGGTGTGAAGACATGCTGGTGTCATCCAAAAAACTTTGAAATGCTTTCCAATGCTAACAAAGGCCAAGTTCAGCCATTCATGTATAATTACGAGGAAAAAAAAACCCTATAAAAACATTAAAAGCACCAACTTGCTCAGGAACACAGCACACACCCTTAAAACATCTAGGGTGCCCAAAGTCAAAGGTCATGAACTCTTGGTGACCCCAAGGTGCCTGTAAACACTTAGCCTGATCCCCATGACTGAGCCAACAGCAGTGACTGACGGGACAGCAGCAACCAAACCAAGGGAACTGACAGGTTGTCATGGTGACTGACAGGCGCTGACAAGCTGTTAGGAAATGTATTAGAGGGAGTTTATCCATGCTGAGATTTAGAAAGGAGAGATTAAGTGCATAATGGGGCTAGGATTAGTAATCTAACCACGATATCCCTCCGCCTTGATGTGCGATAACACAGTGCTTCACTTTAGGGTGTTCTTGAGACTGAGTTGTTCGTTCTGTGTATGTTGTTTTATTATTCTCTTTGATGACTAATCTGACCTCTAACATGACCTCTAAGGGACATGTAGAGGGTTAAGGGTGGTGGCTTATAATGACAGACAATTCACACTGTGAGTGCAAAGATCACAATCAGACTCAGCCAAAGATTGGCAGCCAAGAAAAGCTGCACACAGCTGTTTCTCACAGGTGTTACCTTGCTGTCAACTGCAAATCCGATTCTCCTGATCAATGTGATTCTGTTTCCTAACCAAAACAGACAATACATTCATAATAACCTAAAAGCATGCAAATAATCAGCATAACTTTAATGCTGACAGGGGTAAAACTTATGCCATGGCACAGATGGATCTGTCATCTAAATGGATCCATCATCTAAAGTCCTCAAAAGTACTCGACAAAATGCATTGTTTGTCCAGTGCCCTCTAGAACGACACAAAAGCTTCTACTGATCTGACACCCTTATCATGGGGATGATATCATTTGTCTGTGTCTGTCACTGTTGAAATAAATCTGTCTTATGATGTGACTAAGCTACAGTTAAAGTTTAAACACAAAAACAACTTGGTAAGGTTTAGGGAAACATGGTTATTTGGGTCAAAATGGGAACTTTGTGGGTAAGGTTACAGAACAATCTTGCTGAAAAGAAAATTATGACCGTCAGCTGGAACCGGGAAATGTTTCATCTACCCGTCCATCCACCTCGACCTCCTGGATATAAGGACTTTGTCACCATATATAAGTCACCTGACTTCCTCCTTTGTTCCCATCAAAGTCATATTCTCTATGGTAGGAGCAAAGGAGGAAGGAGCTGATGATGTATTATGTATGTACTTTGACTTTGTTTCTTTGTTGGTTCTCATGACACTGCATTATGCAACCTAATTAACACTTGTTAGCTTGCCATCTCAACTCATCAAAACATTGTAATGGTATGAATTAGGGGCCGTACCAAACCTGCAAAAACACATCATTTAACATTTCATAACTTTGTAAATTACTGCACAGGCATTAACCAAATAATGAGGGGAGCCATCCAAACTATAATTAAGGTTAACACTGATGTAAATTATGGGTTTGTGCTGTTAGAGAATAAAGGTTAGTTTGATATATGAACATGATTCAATGTGTGTTCGTGATGAAGAGTTAGTACTGTTGTGTGTGTGTGTGTGTGTGTGTGTGTGTGTGTGTGTGTGTGTGTGTGTGTTTGTGTATTCAATAAGGTGCGGCAAACTGCATGATGCTACTTCACCCTCAAAGCACACAAACCACAAGCTGGCTCACCTCCACGTGGTAGAAATCACTGCCAACGCTTCCCTGGTACTGCAAACACAGCTGTGAACACACAAACACACACATACAGAGGAACCTGGCAGAACAAACACACCTGACAGTGATGACACAAACCAAACTAAAAAATCTGGCAGGCAGACGCAGCAGCCATACGGGTCTACCTGAAACACATACAGCTAAACTGATAATCACATGTGAAATCAACAGGATATAAAACACAGTCTAAGTACAGTGCTATACAATTGAGTACAGGCAAATTAAAAAGTCAAATGTGATTTAATTGTTTTGGGGGGTATTATTATTTATATTATATCTGTATTTCAGTATCAGTATTATCATATCTGCAAGTTGGAGTAAAGCTACGTCTGTATTGTAACAGGACCTCCGACCTAAACAACAGCACAATAATGGTATAAATAGTGTAGTAATTACCTAAAACGTGGGTTTTTATCAATGGGAGGATAGTGAAGTGCTGGAACAGTCTGCTTTCCTCTGATGAGGTTTTAAAAAAAACTGAGGTTTCAAATGTAAAATGTCATGCATCTGTCTTCCTTATCTCTTTCCTCCCTTCTTCCCACTCTGTCCTTCACTGTCCTCCCTTCTCTCTCCAGGCTCCTTCTCCTTGTCATTTTCCCCCTGTCAAAAGGGGTAAGGAGAAAGGGATCATGCCACACGGAAAAGAAAAGGATTATTTGTTGGTTAAAAATCCTTCACGTCTCAACTAATCCCAAGTGTTTAAGTTCTACTAAGCTCTCATAAAGACCTGGGAATGACAGGAATGGCTGTGTGATCGTGTGTGTGTGTGTGTGTGTGTGTGTGTGTGTGTGTGTGTGTGTGTGTGAGTGTGAGTGTGTGAGAAATACTTGCTACTTCAATCCAACCCCTAATGAAGCTCTGCTGGTGATTTCATACCTTGCGTCCCGAAACTGACCAATGGCACACAAGGTCACCGTCCAGCCAGAGTGTGGGCTGATCCAATCAGAGGAAAGAACAGCAGGGGGGGCAACAAGGTGGCCGGAGGAGGAGGAGGAGGAGGAAGTGAATTTGCTCCCAAAAAACCTTCACAAAACTCTTACGATGGAGCGTAATAGGATTCAGAGGAGCTTAGTGGGAATTTGCCCAGAGAAATTGTCTTATTATTATGACTTCTTTGTTTAGGATGCCCTTATCTCTGGGGTGAATTAGGGGGATTATTCCTTCCCACCCATAATACTGGGAAACTGTTTCCTCTGTAATTAGGTCTAAAGTGCCCTTGTTTAGTTTGCCACAGTACTGTAGCAGCCACAGCATGAAGTGTTCTTATGAACTGGTGCCCCACTCTGGTACATAGTTGAGGTGAAAATTATTTATTTTCACTTTCGCTATCAAATGACAGTGTTGGTGCCAAAAAAAGGACAGATTTTACGGTTCTCTGTCAGTATTAACATAAAGGAATCTATTGCTTCAGTTGATCACATTTACCATCAACACTGATTATACATCCACATAAAATGTGGCAAAAGTGACTAGCAGGCAGATTACTTGCCATTGTGCAAGAGAGAATTTCTGTCACTCAAGTTGTAACATGACGAGTTACATGTATCTGAATGTGGTGATATGGTCTTTGTTTTATACTTTGTTTTCAGTGTATTAATCCAATACTACGACAATGTAGATTTAGCACCAAGGAGGTCCTGGGTGGCTTTCATTCCCGGTCAGAATACCATTAAATCAGTCTGAGTGAACAGATGCTTAAATCCTGCTTTTTAGCTTAAAGATGCATTAGGGGCAGACTGACAGACACGGAGACCTGAAGGAAACTGAGAAGCAGAAGTGATGATGTTGATGATGTAGGTGAGGTTTCATTGCAGTAAGGAGCCTCCTGTCAAAGGATTTGCATAAACTCATCAAAGGGATAAATGTATTATACATGGCTCCATTTAGAACCAGTACATTCTTTATAATTCTTTTTAGCCGAAAATGTGTTGTATATTGTATATTGTTAAAAATTTCAGAAACAACACAACTGTCAACACACCAACTCTAAGGTAAAAACTGGAGAGCTTCTTATGTGAATTCATTTGCATTTGTGAATTGGGTGATATTTTCCTCATGAAGCGGATGTAAATAAGTCTAAAAATGTGATTGAGGCAGAAGAGAAAAGGCAGGGATGGGTTGCTATAGGATGATGTAGCTTGCTTATTATGAAAATACATTTTATTTACTTAGAAGTTGATGTATTCCTTTCACAACCTTTTTATTAAAGTAAGGCAAATGTGATTGCAACAGAACTTGTTATTTTTGTGAATGAGGAGACGAATAATAAGTATAGTATATATTAAGTCTGTGATCTCAATTATCTAGGTATTACATATTCAGAGTCAGTAGAAAGTAGTAATGTTTATAAAAGTAAACTCAAACTGATGTTGATTTGTTTATTATTGGTCTTTACATTTTGTAATGGTATTTAATGTTGCTGTAGAACACATTATAGCATTTTCAATATCTGAACCCTATGGCAGGGCTGGACATGGTTAATAATTCATGCCAATCTCCACACAACAGACCATGTATACTTTATGTAAACAGTTTTGTTGAAAATGTCTTTCTGTTTATGTCAGTGGCATATCTTTTAGTTTAATCGCTACACCAAAAACTATTTTAGAAACAGCCAAGTGTCCTCAGTTTTCAAGATTTGGCTACAGGAATAAACATTCATATGTATCATTTTCATGCACTTTTGGAGTGTTTGTTTTGCACTTGACGTTTCTACAGAGCTCTGACAGGACTTTGTGTTTTTGACCATTATGAAGCTCTGGTAGCTCTGAGTAAATGAAGTTACTTCCACCTAAGAAAAAGGAGTACACAGATATTTATGTTAAATATTATTTATATGCAAATTAATTTCCTGATTTCCTACAGAGCATGATTAAGTGCTGATGCCATTTATTCCTTTTTTTTTTTTTTAAATCAACCAAGGAAGGGTATATTATCACATACTGAGGGCATCCCTGCTAGCATGCATATATGTTTTTACATTGACCAGACCACATGAATGTTGAAAGAAAGAGAGGGAGGGAGCTAGGGAGACAGAGAGAAATGGGTTTTCTTGGGCTAATAACAGCCTTCTAAGTGCTTTATCTCTTGTCTCATTGTCTGAATCCCAAGGACAAACTGTGGCAGGCAGACCCGGCTGGTCGCAGCCTGCCAGCTAAAGCCTGGTTCATCCCCTAATGACTTCAGAATCAACATCCATCTCTGGTCACACCAAGAGGAACACACACAAACACTCAAACAGCCTATATGAGCCCCCCTCCCATCTGTAACAATATGCACATAAATGCCTAAATGTGACCATCAGTCTCCAGGTGGTTTTCAGTCTAAATGTGTTGTGGCTAGTAGAGCACAACAAGGACAGATAAAGACACACTGCAACAGCTGTTCTGTCTTTCTATCACATTCCTCTTCTCTCCTCCACTTTTTCTTTCATCACCTCATCTCTCTTGCTTTCATTATCCAACAGTCGTCCCCGCTACCTTTCTCATTTCTCGTGAGGATACACTGCGGCTTCACATGTACATGGAGAGAGTTACTCATAACAGAAAGGTGTTTGATTTCTTTTGACAGCATGTCGCTTTGGATATGAATGTAAAAACCCAGATTTATTCTCTTTCTAAATCCCTCTCTCTCTCTCTATTCAGCCAACATTTTCCACATCCTTCCTGTGGTTCCACCCTCTTGGCTCATCGCTATAGGAAATACCTGTCCTTAGCTGACACAAACACACACAGGCATTTGCAGAGCCAAATACATAGTCACACACAATGTCTGCTAACAGTGTCCACCATTTTTAGCCACACTCGCAGCTCTTTGTCACTCTATTGGTTAAACACTTTGGTCAAACTATTGAATAATCTGCCATCTTTAATACTGTGATAACCTGGATTTTCAATGGCGTCAGCACAATGGTGAATTTTGAATAATGTTATATCACCCTTCTTGAGACAATAACAATGTCTGCTTTCACACCAAAGTGTGACACGCTGCAGAGAAAGGTCATTGGACAAAGCAGCTGCATTCTCAAGGGTGGGCGTGTGAACCATAGCCCTGCACACTGCTGTGATTTTCCAGTCAAAGTTCAACTAAATTGAACTCTGAACCCAAACTTGCTAACCTCTACAGCACCCAACAAATGGTGCTCCAGCATTGACAGACAGACATTATGGCGGCACCAGTTTCACTCCAGAATAGAAGAGTTCATTTGTACATCTCCCAGACTTATGTCACTCTTTTGTCACTCAAATCCTACTTGGGTAAAAAAAAATCTCAAGCATGGCAGAAAATATCAGAGTGGACGGGCTTACATTTTGTTGCAACTTAGATAGCTGCTTTGTAGGATGTTTAGCGCTTCATTCTACACTCTAAGTGAATTAAAAGGAAGGAAAAATGGACTTTGTGGAAATATCAAAATATTCTCCTTTTGTTCTCCACAGGCAGAGGAGTGTATCAGGGTCCGTGTAGGATTGACAGCGGTTGGCACACTGAACCCCTGCAAGGGAATGAGAGACAGAGAAAACAAACCTAGGCTGTAGCTTCTATTGGAAAAAATACAAGATAAGAAATTCTGAGAATAAGAATTGTTGTGCTTTTTTTCAACCTCAGAATGAGCCATTTTTCTCTACAGATGGAGTGGGTCCTCTTCTACGTAGTCTACAATGTTGAACCACGGCCACTGTAGTTTCGCAACCACCACAGTTTCTCCTACATGCTTGGAAGGCTTGTGGTATTCAGTTGGTTGCAGTATGCAGCTTCACCAGTAGATGCCACTAAATCCTACACACTGGTCCTTTAAGACAGGTTTACACACATGCAAAGTCTAAGTGCCAACACATGAAGCCAACCGCAACACAAACAAGGTGTGCGATATGCTACAAATGGAGTAGATAAAGTGGAGCTGAGTGATGGCGGAAAATCTCTTTTCCTGACTTGGCAGGTGCACCACTTTGGTACAAAGAGCATCTGTCACTCACACAGAAAATGACTGGAGAAACTCTATAGAAAATCACTGTCTACAGTCCAGCTACAGAGCTGACACACAAACAGGTAGATATCCAGGAACCTGGGAAATGGTGACATCTAAGTTCAGTCGGTAGATAAATTCAGACACAAATACAAATCATGATACAGCTTTCACATGGTTGTAAACAAAAATGGACACATGTACACACACAGCAGCGAGAGAACCATGTCTTTAATCAAGCCTAGTGCATCTGTCAACAATGCCGTGAACACAGGGCTGCACCACAACAGAGAGGCCCCTGTAAGTGTGTGTGTGTGTGTGTGTGTGTGTGTGTGTGTGTGTGTGTGTGTGTGTGTGTGTGAGCAGACATGACCAAACAACACACCCCTCCATCCATCATGTCGACAGGACAAATAAAGTGGAACTGCTCTTTAAGAAAAGGGGAAACGTGTACCATAACCTGCTATAGTCTGACTTTACAGGAAGGGCTGGAATGCAGCATCTGTTAGCTCTGCTTGATATCAAATAAAAGCCTTTTTGTGGTTAATATTGAGTTTGTTAT